GGAAGTGGGCCAGTTGGCCTGCTGGGCTGTGACGCGTGCCTATGTCTGGGGCTTCACCAGGCTCCTGGCAAGCTGTGCTGGCATCCACTTTTGAGTGAGGTGATCCTCCGGCCAAACACACAGTGCCCCTTTTTTGCTCAGTGCTTGCCTGCCTTGTTGAGGTTATTCATTGCCTTAAATTTGATAGACAGTTGGTCTTCTTGATGAGGCAATGAACCTCATCTGAGGTTTCTTCATGGAGAAGTGAGTGAAGTCACCAGGCTCCTGGCAAGCTGTGCTGGCATCCACTTTTGAGTGAGGTGATCCTCCGGCCAAACACACAGTGCCCCTTTTTTGCTCAGTGCTTGCCTGCCTTGTTGAGGTTATTCATTGCCTTAAATTTGATAGACAGTTGGTCTTCTTGATGAGGCAATGAACCTCATCTGAGGTTTCTTCATGGAGAAGTGAGTGAAGCTTGTTTGCCACTAAGGGTGCATATTTTCCATCTGCATAAAAGCGTGAGTACGGTGTGGTCTTTTGTTGAAGTTTTCTCTTTCGTTCCTAGTGTTTGGAGTGATGGTGCGATCAGAATAGCTGGTTACTGAGTGTGCCGTTAGGTGCTCTGAGACTGGCCTAAGCAGCAGTCCCTGCTGGCAGAACTGGTGTCCACCTTACTCGTGCAGCGTAGGCCATTGCATGAAATTAAGTGTGGACAATGTTGAGTCCATTACCTACCAGAGCTGTGTTAATCTGCTGTTGCTGTTGGCAGTGGGTAGGTCACAGTGCTGGAGCATTCCCAAGGCTGTTCTGAGGATTTCTTGTTTCTGTTGGTCATGACACAACTAAAGTCACAGTGTTTCTGATACAAAGAGAGTTCTATAGGCAGCAACCTATAGTTCTATCAGGCAAGCAACCTGTGGTCTTCCTGTAACTAGCTCCTGCTGTCTGTAACTTGCTTTGCAACACCTTGCATCCTTCAGAAGTGCTTCTGGAGTGCCTTGTACCAAGGTCTTTCACTGAAATCAGGAGGAGAAATTACTGGCTAGCTGCTCAGTTATTCATGTTTTTGTCTGTTCAAAGAAAGTCTGAGAGCATGACTCCAGCAAGCCTTGCTTTAGGGTTGGCTGAGATGGTTGCTTTAAGGTTTTGTGTTATTCAGGTTAGGATTGCTGCTGGTGCACTTACAGTAACTTGTTAAATGCGGAATACTAGTTTGTGGAATAGCTTAGACAGCCGTTGTGTCTTGTAGCTGCAGTTAAAACCCTGCCCAGTGTCAAGACAGTTTGAGGGCACCTCCAGAGTGCTGCAGGATGGAAAACCAGTGACTTCAGAGATGGTTATCGGGGCTTCAGAGGTAGAAAAAGAATTAGGAGTATTTTTTCTATGAAGTTTAGCACTTCTTGGTGTATCTCCTCTGTTGCTGGCAGGTGAAGAAGTGACTGGCTTACTGAGAGAGGCTCACACAAACCAAAAGCTGTAGTGTGGATGCATCTGAATAAATGTACCTTTACTGTGCCATTTCTTCCCCTTTATAATAATTGATGCATCAATAGGCTAAAGAACTGTCCTGTTGTTTTGGGACAGACCTAATGGTTTTAATCTGTAGTTCAAACAGTGTAATTTCTGTTACACTGTAGGAAAGCGCTGAATACTGGCTGTGTCCTGCATCTTTTATGCACCCACATTTACTCATGCATGTGCAAGTTTAAAAACAAGCAAGCAAAACCCCCTAAACCCCTTGAATGTATTCTCTTTGACAGTGAGAAAACAGAACTGAAAGCTGTGGAACAGTTAAGTGGTGTGATACTGTCGTGGCCTGTTTCTGCAGTATTTATCCAGTTATTATGTCACTAGGAAGCCCTCATGTATTATTTGGGGTTGCATAGCTTTTGTACCCTGCTGTTGATTTACCATATTGAAGAAACAGTTTTCTTCCAGTCTAAGAATTAAAAGTATCAAAGTCTTAGAAGTCTCAACCAAGCTTTCAGTGTAACAAATTATCTGGCTGAGTGGGATAATAGAGTGGATTAAGTCTCCATAACAAGTCTCCACGAGAGAGTAGAGGTACAATTGACTGCTAAACTTAGATTAAATGCTGTAGCAGCTGTTGAGATTCAACATAGTTATTCATATGTTAGCATTTCCTTTGTTAATCTTTTTTCCTTATTTGAAACCATCTCAATTTTTTTGTGGTTATTAATGTGAGTAACGGAGTCCAACCTAGTGTTTACTTTCCAAATGTGTCTGGTTTGTTACTTTGAACTAAAACAAACCAAAATAATTTTAAGTTTGTGCTGGTAGGAAAACTTCTCTCTCACATAATGTGTTGCAGATCACTTGACAGAAGTTGTGTTAAATGATCTTTCATTTTTTAAATATTTGCAAAATGTTTAGATTTGCAAAGTGCTATTTTGTTCTGGATAAACATAGAACAATCTGAGTACTGGAATAATGTAACCTCTCCAGCAAGAATACACCAAAAAAACATGTAATGGGCTATCCGTGCCTCTTTTGGAGATGCATAAGGAAAATCGTAGCTCTACAATGGTCAACTCTGTTTCTTCTCATGGGATGTGTTTAGTGTTTTGCTCTGTGTTTACAGCAAATGTAGCTTTGCTTTGTTTTACCTCCTGTGCTTCATATCTGAGACAAGGACTGATGTTAAGATGGCCTAGTGTTAAAATGAGTGTTTTTTCAGTGTTCCTGGCAGTAACCTTTAACTTGAGCAGAAATAGCTGTTGACTATATGATGAAAAAGGCTAGATGTTATTTATTTAATTTGGCTTTCAACAGTGCTAATGTTGTTTTATGTTTGTCATGTTGAAAAAGTTAATCACAAGATTCTTTCCCAGTTCCCACTTTTTAACTTCTCTGTTGTACATCTGCTTCATAGATCTTCTGGATCTGGGGGTTTGATGCAGATGAAGTTTGAACCTTCAGTTTTACTTTTTAATCAAAAGCTTGTCACCTCGTGTACTTGTAAACTTACCACTGCACACAATACTTTAGTCCCAAAATGGTATTTTTTTGAAATTTAGTCTGGAAAAACAAAGAGGGGAAAAAAAAAAGTTAAACTAAGCAGATGAAAAATCGTATTTCATGTGAAATGAGTAAATATGTTCAAGGTGGTGTAGAACATGAGGAGAAGTGAAGGATAGGAAATCTTAGCATTTGGCTTCAGTCAGCCACTTTGCTAATTGCTGAGTGAACTCCTTACATGGTTGGCATTTAATGATTTGAGAATTAATTACAATCAGCTTTCCCTAGCAGCTTGATCAATACTAGTTAGTCATTGAAGAGTATAGGAGAGACTTTGTTCTTTTCTCTTGAACTAAAGTATCTTACTTTCACATAATATGCCCATATTTCCTGAATCCTAATTTTGTAAAATATTAGTATTTCTGCCAAGGTTATCGCAATGATTGTACTAAATAGCTCTTTTTATTAGTTTGCAGGCTGAAATCATCGATCAGCTTTCTTACTCGACCAGATCGACCGAATCTTGCTTACCATAAACTAAAAGGCAGGAATCCAGGGGTTATTTTCCTTCCAGGCTTTAATTCAAATATGAATGGTCGGAAAGCAACTGCCCTTGAAGATTTCTGCAGCTCTCTAGGTCATGCCTTCGTCAGGTACATAGCGAGCGTCGTTCTAGAGAAGATGAAACAAGTATCATGGGTTGTGGGAAGGGGTTTTAACAAAAATATGTAAACTTCAGCATTTGGTTTGGAATGCATGCTGTGCTGTACACAAGCTAAGAAGTGTCTGCCTTCGATTTCAAATGTAGGCTTTTTGCCTGTAAAGAGACTGAGATAAATCAGGAGAATGTATTCTGAAAGTAATTCAGAAAATTCTTTGATAAATTTCTGTAGTCTAGCTGATGCTATGTGTTACATTAAGGTTATAGGCACAACAATGAAAAAGGAAAGAAAACCTTAGAAATTTTAGGTTTAGGACCCGGAATTCTAATTTCTGTAAATTATCACTAAAAGTGTGCTTCTTAACTGCCAAAGCTTATGAAGCTATTCAGTGCCGTTTGTGGGTTTAGAGGAACACGCACGTGCTTGGTGATACTGTCTTTTGGTAGACTAGGCTGAATGCTGAGTTTCGCAAGTCTTTGTAGTTGGGAATAGCGTTTGAAAGAGAGTTTGTACATTTTAAAAATACCTTTAAAATTGAAGTATGTTGCATTTTGGCTGTAAGGGAAGTTCTTTGTCTGGGAAATACCCTGGTAAATTTGGGTATTTTATATCAAATGGTAAGAAAACGCTGCATCACTTAATTGTACTGTTGTGTTTAAACTTTTTTTCATGTGATTTCTGGTCCTAGTGATATGCAGGACCAAGTAAGAAAATACCCTGCTTAATTTGATTGAACGGTACTGTTCAGTTAGCTTCTGTGTTGCTGTAGACAGCACTATGAGTTTCATCTTGGTGGTTATTTTTTCAGATTTGATTATACAGGATGTGGAAGTTCAGATGGTAACTTTAAGGACTGTACAATTGGGAAGTGGAGAAAAGATGTTCTGTCTATACTGGATGAACTTACAGATGGACCACAGGTTATATTTTATTTTTAAATACAGAATGCTTTTTATCCTCAGGGCAGAACATTGATCAAAAATACGCCATTATAGCTCTGGTCAACAGTAGCTTTTATTTAACAGCTTACACCTGCTCGCTTTCAAGCTGAATCATTTGAGAGGTCATATGTGTAGGACCTCTTCTGCAAGCAGGTACATCACAAAATCATGGCACCGTGGTTTGGCGGGACCTCCTGGAGGTTGTTCATTAGAGCCTCCTGCTCAGAGCAGGGCTGTTTTCTCAGGGAGTCTGAGAAAGCCTCATGAGGGAGATTCTACCTGACAGGGAGCAGGGAACTGTTCCAGTGTGGCGCAGCCCTCTTTGTGAAAAAGTGTGTCACTGTCCCAGTGCTGATGCATTAATTAAAGGATTTGCAAGAATGTTACAAGTTAATACACTCTATATGATGAAGTAGCTTAAAAAAGTAATAGAAGCAGCTTTTGACTTTTTCAGCTACTTTAGAAATGACTGTGAGAAACTTGAAATCTCCTGCAACCTGGAAATATTTAGTATAGTGTTTAAAAAATACTGTATTACGAATTGCTTTTGTTGATCTCTTTCACTGCACTGAGCCTTTACCATGTGCGTTTATGTTAGGAAGGAAACATGAAGTATGCATGTGATACTGAATTATTTCAACTCTCATTTTGTTTACAGTGTTTCAGTCTCAGACAGCAATAACCGGCCATGCCAAACAAAAAGAATAATAAAATACCAGGTCCTGTGGTGCTTACTCAGGCAAAATTTCCACTGGAGGTGACAGCAGTTCTGCCTGGGTAAGGACAGCAGGATTATGCCCAAGGTTTAAGTAGTTAAACAAAATTAAAACTGATGCTTTGTAAAAGAAAAAAAAAGCTGTTTCCAGTAAAATAATATCTTATTTTTTCTCTTTTAAGATTCTGGTGGGCTCCAGCTTGGGTGGATGGCTGATGCTTCATGCTGCAATAGCACGCCCAGATAAAGTAGCTGCTCTAGTTGGAGTAGCTGTAGCAGCAGACCATCTTGTAACAACTTTTAGGCAGCTTCCCATTGAGGTAAATGCTGGTGGTTGGCTTTTGTGCAATCTAAAAAAAAAAAACAAACAAAAAACCAAAAACTATCAAGCATTTAAGACATTTTCCTATTCAAACTGTACTTTTCCTGCAAGTGTTCTGATAATTTTTCTGTGTTTGTGGTGGAGGTAAGCTGAAAATTTACATTAATCTAAAAGTCTGCAAAACACTGTGCTACTAGTATGAACGCTACCTAGAATGTGTTTGTATTATAACCGTGGCATACAGGACGTGAAGTCAGATGCCTGCTGTGCAGCAGTCCATTAGATTTCAGTGTTGAATATCTTATATTTGCATTCAGATTGGATCCTTGTGCTTTCAAGGATGCAGAAGTAGCTGCTAAAGCAATTGAGATTACATTGGATGAGATGAATCTAGCACAGGTTGTGTGCGTAGGAGGGGTTTTCTTCAGATTAGTGTGCTTGTGAAGACTGTAAGATTTAGGTGGTAGGAAGTCTCTGAGTTGCTTCCTTGGCGATGATGATGTCCAGTCTTCAGGAAAGAAAATCAGGTATTATAATGTGACAAATAAGGGTGGTAATAAATAGCTCATGCTTTGGAATAATTAAAATATTTCCTGATTTTTTTTTTTTATTTTTTTTTTTTTTTTTTGGTAAGGCACTGTGTAGTGTCAGTTTTGCTACTTACAACAAAGGTAAGTATCTGGAAGTACAGCATTTAGGCACAGCTATTGTGGCAAAGACTGAAAAGACTGACCACTGGAAAATTCCTTTTTCCTAGGATTCTCTGTGTTTGTGGTTCAGTGAACTGATTGAAGCCAGAGACACTTACTGTTTATTGTGGCTATACATCTTTTTCTTTCTGATAGATTATGTCTGAGAAACGTTAATTTCATTGGCAAATCCTAACTAGATTAATTTGCAGGAGAGACGTGCAGAGTAGCTTTTGTGACATGGTAGGGGTTTTGTCTTCTCAGATGCTGGAAGGCAAACAGGAATATACCTTCCCAGCTAATAAAAATGGACAAAGTGGAATTTTATGCCTGAGGAAGTTTTACTGCATTTAGAACAGAAATGGGTTAAGGCACTCTAAAGAACTTGAAACATCTGTCTTGTCTATTCTCTGCTCTCTTTTTATTTATAGGCACAAAAAGAAATAGAAGAAAAAGGTGAATGGAAGTTTCCAACAAAGCATAATGAGGAAGGTTATTACTCTGTGACGTATGACTTTATCAGAGAGGCAGAAAATCACTGTGTGCTAAATAGTCCTATTCCTATAACATGTCCCATACGGCTCATTCATGGCATGAAGGATGGTGATGTCCCTTGGCAGATCTCTATGCAAGTTGCTGATCGTGTTTTGAGCAAAGATGTGGATGTTATCCTCCGCAAAATTGGCCAACATCGGATGAGTGAGAAGGAGGATACAAAACTTCTTGTGAATACCGTTGATGATTTAATTGACAAGCTGGCAACATAAGCTGCAGAGTAGCTATATGTGCATGAACTCTACACCTGACTCTTCTCCCTGAGTAGCAGAAACCCTCTTCTTAACAAGATGATGCCAGGCCTGTGACTGTCACAGTAGTAACTGAGCTTTATCTGCTGTTTCCTTACCTCTGTTTCGTAAATACAGGTATTTTATTAATGCTGCGTTTGCAAAGACAGTCCAAAATGTAGAGGATTGGTGCTGTTGTGTCCAGAACCTCTCCTTCACCACTTAAACTTTTTTCACAAGCTTCCTACACTTTTGTACTGAAATGTTGATTCATTTTTGTTACTGTTGGCCTGTACAGTGAAACTTTTAATTTTCCATGTCTTTGACACCATTTCAGTTTTGTCCTTTTGCTGTAACATTCTTGTCTCTTATGTCTGACACCATCTATGCAAGGCAAAATCAGCTTAAGTGTTTACTAAATTTACTGTTATTAGAAATAGTGAATAACATGAAGCATAATAAACAGATTTCAGATACATTATTATATTGTTCTTACGTACTGTTAAAATTGAAAAGTGGAAGGCACACCCTGATGGTGTGCTTGGGGTACTACATAAGGAAGAAGTTAATTTTTAAGTTCTTTTTTTCCTTCTTTTAAGGAAGAATGCAGGGCCTCGAAACGCTGATGGAGCTCTCTTGCCTATGCTTACCAGTAGGGTTTACGTCCTCTACTACGGGCTGTCTTTTTGTAATAGTTAACTTGTGGGTCTACTATTAAGAGAGCAATATATAATCTTGGTGTAAACTGAAACGGGATCAGTACAGCAACTCTTTTCTAGTAACCTCTTTAAAGTGGGGAGTACAGGACCACAGGGCATCACTGCCTCTTCTCTATGACTTGAGAACTGTAGATGATTAGGAATAGTGTCTTCTGGAGTTAGGAATTTGAGGTACGCGATTGCAAGCCTGAAAACTTCTGACTGAAACTTGATAGTTGGATAATTCATGTAAGGTAGTTCCTTAGAATGTAATAGTAAATGCATTTAGTTGAAAATATGACTATTACCTGGTTTTTGTCCAAAAATACAGTGCCATTCATACACTCGAGAGAGAGAGGAACTTAGATGAGTGGCTGGAATTAATTCAGGCTGGCCTTAATATGAAACATCAATCAAAAGTATAAAGTTGTTTCTGGCTTTGCTATTTTAAGCAGTAAATGACATCACTATCGCTACCTTAAAAGACTAAAGCTCCTGGAGAGAAGGTATTTCTAGAGGGTTTGTTGTTCTTGGTGTTAGCATTGTCAACAGAAGTACCTTGTATAGAGCTTTGCTGAGGTAGTAGGTTTTAATTTTTTAAAAAAAAAACCAAACAGCTAAAACAAAAAAATCAAAACCAGCAACAAAACAACCCCAAATTTCAGATGAGTTCCTGTGAAGTACAGTCTTATTTAGGCTTCAATACTGCAAAACCCAAGAAGCTGTGATGTAAAAAACTTGATTTCTGGTATCAGAGTGAGTAAAAAAGGTGGCTCTAGTTTAGATGCAAACCTTTTAATTCAAGTGTATCAATTCCCTAATTCAATTAATGTAGCTCAGGATACTTGTTTGAGGAATTACAACGTTCCATGAAATCTTGTTTCCAAGTATTTGTGCTTCTGAAGGGAGTGGACTTTTTTCCTGTCTGTATGAATATGCAATTCGCTATGTTCTTAAGCTTTAAAACCTCTTGAATATGTATTTTACTGTTGAGAAGAATTAATTCAGATAATTTATGCAAATTGCTCAACCACTTCCATTCCTGAAGGTTGAGCTGTGTTCATACTTAGTTGTCCTCTTCGTATGTATTCATGTGACTTGCATCTAATGAAACCTGAAAAATAGGTTTTGCAAGTTTTAAAGACAGTCAAATCAAAATTAAGTTATTTCAGCACTTTGTGCTCTTAGCTTACCTATGACAATTTTTTAATCCACTTTTGTCGCATCTTTTAGTTTGCTTTGTCTTTTAATAGCAGAAAAAGTCGGAAAAAAGTAGACTTCAGTAATTCCAAAGTAATTAGACTTAATTAAGGCCCAAAGTTACCAATCGTGACAGATGTACTTTTTGTTCACATGTATTAAAGTTATTTCAGTAACTGAGAAGTTTTGAGCTATTTTTTTGCATTGGGAGTTACACCTACAAACACTCAATTTAACTAGAGCGCTTCAGGCGGAGTAAAGTCTTTATAGGTCTGTATAAACTGTAGCTGTGTATTTCTCTTGAAATAATTGGATTCTGTTCATTCAAAGCTTCACCTTAGCTTTTATTAAATAATTGGCATTTCATGGGTAAGGTCTTTTTGTTACAGTGCCTTAGAGCAAGACAGCTGAAAACAAATGTGAAAGGGAGCAGTTGTGTGAGTAGTTTTCAGGTCGGTTGGTTTGTTTGGTGGTGTGTTTTGTTCTGGTTTTCTTCTCCCGTTACTCTGCTGTAATAACGTTAGGTGGGAGAAGGCAGCGTAACAGGGTTGACACAATTTTTGAGGGTACAAAACTGCAGCATGGGTTGCTCAAACTGCAGTATTACTGAGACTTAATCCGAGGGAGGTGGGGTTTTTTCGCGTGCTACTTGTTTTGTAGTTCTCCGTTTTCCTTCTCTGCTTGCTAAATGGAGATCAGTGGTAGGATTTACCTTACACGTACATCCAAAATTTGCTACATACAGCGTAAATGCAAAGGCAGAGATGATACTTTCTTCACAGAGACAGTGTTGCAGGTAGTATTTTGTGATTCAGTGAACACTGGTGCCCTTCTCTTTGTGTTCACTTACCATTTTCTAAATTCAGTCTATGTTCGTTAAAATACGAAGAGGTGGCTCTGAGGGTAGACCTTACGCAGGCAGACTTTTCCCTCTAACCTTGCCACGGTAGTTCCATTGGTATTTCTCTTGGCAAGCATAGCATTTTCCTTCTGTTCATGCTGGAAATGACCAGCGTTTTGATTACCGTAACTCAGCATGTTCAAATACCTGAAAGAAGGGCTAGATGATAACCAGGGAGATTTACATCCTACCCGTGACTAACTCTTGGCCTGTCAGGAAATTCTGACAATCTTGAATAATACAATATTTGTGTACTACGGTGTCATTCTGATTCAGTATTATGTTTTGTCCCCTGAGTTAATGCCTGTGGCATCTTTTTTGTCTTTGCCAGTAGATGCCTAGGTAGTGAATTATCTTCAGTATTAGTCATGTTTAAAAACAAGTATTTCTTTCCTCTGTAGAAATACTGTATTAAACAAGGGTATTATGCATTTGGGAAGCTCTGCATGGTGCAAATTTTTAAGATCCTTTGTAATTAATTCTTAAGTTCTGGGGTTTTTTCTTTTTTTACGGACTTCTAATTTGCTGCCAAATACGAAGTACGTTTTGTGAATATATGACATACATTTCCTAAACAATAAGCTCAATTCACACGAAATTATCAGTGTCTTCTGCTTTCAAACTTGCCAACTCTTATCTTGTGCTGCCTGGGGGGGTTGTTTTAATCTACACTTAATTACTTCCTACCTTAATCTACACTTGATTACTTTCAGTAGCACTCTTGGCTTAAGTTGTTAGCATTCTCATTGCTTTTCACTTTTGACAGGTCTGAAAATGACTTCTGCGCTCCTCTGTCGCTGAGTGTAGTATGGACGTGTTGGGGCTGAGGCTGCTGTCGCAGTACAGGGAGCTCTGGGCACTAACCGAGCCACTCGGCTGCTTGTGGTGCTGATTTTGATCAAACAGTACTAGTTGAGGAAGCACCTCGAGGTATTTGTCTTACGTGTAATGCTTAAGCTACATAACATTAACTCCTGCTGAGGGGTTAGTTATTGTTGTTCAAGTTCCATGAGTGAGTAACAAAAAGCTTTCACAGCTAGGCAGGAAGCTTGGCTAGCATGTAATACCAAAGAAGCAGGTAACTTTTTTTCATTAAAAAGAAACCACAGCATTACCAGCTGATTGCAATGGTCTCTAGTCCTTACCAACGTTTTCATTTCAGATCTGCTGCAAAATCAAACTACGTGGAGATTTAACTTGTGAAACAAACCCTTCCGCCTTCTGAAAAGGAAGAAAATGGTGAGGCGTGCTTTCCCGTGTTTGGGATTAACCTCTGCAATAGACCAGCATTTGTTGAAAGAGTCTCTAAAGCTTATTCAACATGTTTCATAATGAATGAGTGCTCTTACGCTGTCTCTGTTGAGCTGTACTAATGCAATTTTATATACATGTATTTTTATCTTGTGAGGTATTCTGCTTGTTCTGTCTCTCCTGTTGTTTGGCTTTGTATTACACACTTCAGCTGGTTTGGGGTTTGGGTTGGGGGGGGTGTTGAGTTAAATGGTGCTAAGCGTTTCATGTAGTTTCAGTTTAGCTAACTTATTTTCTCTTGCATCAACGCTAAATGCGAACAAAGCAGTGTTCACAAAAAACCCTAGCTGGATAGGCCTTAGAAGAACTGCCTCCTGTTGTTTCATTTTTATGTTAATTTTGATTACATGCTCTCTTGGACATGCTGTTATTCAGTGGGGCCAAGAGATTTATGGTACCATACTTTTCATAGCAAATTAAAACGTGCTTAGAGAGAAACTTTCAACCAGCAATGCGTCTGCAGCTGCTCAAATGTTTTCAATGCTCCAGTCATACTGCAGCACGGAGTTGCAACATTTTCTGAACCAGTGCCTTGGTCAGAGTTGCTACATTAGGTCTGTGCTTGTCATTTCTCCTTGGCCCCTATCGCCTCTGCTGGGGCGGGGGGGAACAAAAAAAACCCCAACAAGTGGGAGGGAATATCATGTCCTGGGGAATAATGAGATTTGGACCTCATTGTTTTTTAAGTTACTCAGTTGTGCTGTTACAGAGAGGCCTACTGTCCTCTCAGATTTTTTTTTAAAAAGTACTAAAAAATTACGTTAAAGGCTTCCCCTAGAAATAGAAGGAGGTTGTGTGTTTCGCGTGTCTCTAAGGTCAGTGATCTCTGCTTTGAGGCGATGTACAAATTCAGTCAGATGGCCAAGAATGTAGAATTTCA